GATCTCAGACAACACGTTATCTTTTTAAAAAATCACATTAGAGGCTTAAAAACATATACAAGCACATAAGCAAGCAAGCCCTTTCTATTTGGGCTAAGCGTATGACCTCACCTCATTTCTTTTATTTTTTTTAAAAAATTAATATCTGTTTTTAATTATATTGGTTGTGTCTAATTTTTTTAAAAGATAATATGACTCATATGTATTTTTTTAATTTATTTAATTTAGATTAAATATTTATTTTTATAATTGTTGGAATATGTTCAATCTTACATAATATTTTTATAATTTCACATAGTATTTTTATAATTTTATTAAATAAATTTTATATTTGTGTCAATCTCTATATAAACAAATTTATTAAACAAAACAAGTTAAATAACTTATACTGTGATATTAAATATCTTGATTTGCGTCTTAATTTTTCCCCTTATATTTTTATTTATCATCAATAACTTTTATTTATTTATTTACATAATATTTCATAATTTATTTAAATAGATGCATGCATAAGTTTTTCAATTTTTATTTATAAATTTTTCTAAGATAAAAAAAACTTATTGAAAAATTCTACATGTTTAATTTTTTTAATCATATATTGGTATTTTTTATTTAATCATTATTTTTATGATTTGTTTCATTAAACTTTTTATAAAAGTTTAATTGCTTTTAATTTCAACCTTCCATCCAAGCTAATAATGTTTTATTTATTTATTTTTGCTCTTATTCTTTTGGTTTTTTTTGTTTTTTTTTCAATTTAAATCTCAAAGTGAAAATTTGTTATTGGCATTCAATTTATTCTTTATTTTCATTTTTTTAATTTGAAATTTTTTTGTTTGTAATTTTTTATTTCATACTTTGACATTTTATTTTTTAAGAATTGGGATTCATGATTCTATCATATATGGTTCTTAAAGTTTGGTGACCCAGTTCAAGGGTGGACAACGTTTTTTGTATTGTTTTCTTTTTTGATGTTGATTAAAAAAAAAGATTTTGTGGTTTTTTTCTATTTTTTTCTATCAAATTAAATTTTTTATCATAACCTAAAACAAGAGTTTGTCAGGCTAATCTAGACTAGTTTACTTATTAATATCCAAATTACATGTGTATCATGTTAGATCAGGTTATTTGACCTCATTCTTTTCTTTTCTTTTCTTTTTCTTTATAGTTTTGATTCTTTTAATTTATGACTTTTTATATTTTTAAAAATAATTTTTATGTTTGTATTTCACTTCTTTATGATTTTTTTTAAATAGTCATTATTTTTTAATTATATTGGATATTTTTATTTCTTGAAGAGATTAGTATAATTTATTTGTAATTTTTATATATTATATTATATATATATATTAAATTTATTTTTATAAAAAAAAATATTAATTTCTAATGATATTTTTAATATATACAGCCTTGCATAGTATGTTTTTTCATTTTATTTTATTCAATAAATCTTATGTTTGTATTGATTTTTATTTCAAATGGATTTTAATAAACAAAATTATTAAACACAACAAAATAAATAAATTATATTGTGATATTAAATATTTTAATTTATATTTATTTTTTAGTTTCCAATTTTATTTTTGTTTAGGAAAAAAATTAGAGAGCTAAAATTGGTTTGTTATAGTGTTTTGTTTCTCTTATTTTTTATTGAACTTGACTTTTTTTTCATCTATTCCTTTTCTCATATTGTAAAAAAAAATGTATTAGAGAAAATTTATCTTATTAAACTTTGTAAAATACATGGATATTTTTGCAGGTTTGACTGGTTGATTTGGTTTCAAATTTTGTGAGTTTAACTTTTTTTTGTTTTTTAATTATTTTTTTCAACATCTTAATATTGGATTGGTACTTATTTTTGTAGTCGTCTATTTTTTTTATCATTTAGTTAAATAAAAAAATTATCATTTCATTAAAACCTATAATCTGGTTCACAGATTTGACGTGCTAGCTTGGGTTACCCGATTCATGGGTTTGATGAGTTCATTAATTGGTTGGGTATGTTTTTTGTTTTGTTTTAAGTCCTTTATTTGCTTTTTTTTTCCTCGATTTTATCCTTTAATATTAAATTAGTTTGGAAATAAACTGCACGATTTATTTTTATTTGTTTTATATGAAGTTATTACCATCTCAAATAAGTTTTTATTTGTAGATATATGTCAATTTTATGATTATATATTTTTATTATATAATTATAAATATTATAAAAAAGTTATCGAAATCAATGGAGTCTATAATATGGGTCGTTAGGGGACTAAAATCGATTTAATCTATTATTTTGTTAATAATTTTTTTTAAAATTATCATTTTAAAGTTTTCTAAAAATTAAATAATATTTATATCTATAAAATAAATATATTTAAATTGATCTAGCGATTTTAAGTGGACAAATTGATTATGAGGTTTCAAAATTCATTCATTAAATAATAACACAATAAAAAATTTATTCGTGCGCGTGTATCAAGTGTTCACACGTGGCAACAAGAACAAGGTGGAGAAAATTCAGAAGGCAGGGAACGTGTGCCGAACCATCTGGCAAAGAAGCAGGTGCGTACGGGGCAAAAAGTGATAAGGTGAGATATTAATGTTCTTCACTTTTTGGGTGTTTTTTTAATTTTGTTTAATTTTTTTTTTTATTCCTTTAATTGATTTATCATCTAATTCTGTGGAATTAAGTATTGTATAAAACGATCTACTGATTAATGCATGGAAATTTTTTATACGTGTTTTCATCTACCGGTGTTCCTTTTCTATTCTGCTTCTTCTTTCCTTTTTATTATATAGTTTTTTTGTCCAATACAAAATTAGAAAAATAGTAATTTAATATTTTAGTTTAATGGTAAAAAAATAATAAAAAATATTTGCATCAGCACCCCTCAAATAGTGTTTAATTGTTTTTTGCCACCATTCTTAGTTCAGCAAGACATGTCACCATCATCTTCTCTTTGGGATGATCAGCTAGTCAACCCCGTCCTAGTTTATACTTTATTGTACTTAAGGACACTTGAATAAAAGTTTTTGGAGGATTTATTTGTAGTTTATTATCATGTAAATCATCATTCATTAAATAATTTAGTCAATCTTGAGGTGCATAACTGCATTGATTAGAACTAATGCTTTTAAAATAAAATGGGGATTATATATACTAATAAATACTGAAAAGATATCTTATCATTAATCAAAAAATAAATCATAAAATTAAAAAATAAATATAAATATAAATATCTTCATCGTGTGCTACTAGGGAAGCCCTTCATATATATATTTTTTTACTTAAATATATGCACGAATGTTTCCTATAAAAAGAGTGATAATTTAAATACCATTGAGACAAGATAATTTGCTACTAAAATTATTCATTTTCTTGTTAATATTTTTAATTTCAATAAAAAGAAAATCTAACATTGTATCTAATGTCATTTATTTAGTAAAAATTAAAATTATTCAAACGACACACACCAAAAAAATTAGATAAATTAAAATAAAGATAAAAAATATATTTCACTAAAATATTTGAACAATTTAAAATAAAAGTAAACAAATATATCTCTCTAACTAAAACTTATTTGTATAATTAAAAATGCCTAGTTTTTTTTCACTAGAATATTTATTTTTTTAGCAAACATTCTACAATTATTCCAAAAATAAGTCTCAATTCTAAATAATAATAATAATAATATAATTTTAATATGGGTGTAATAAAAAAATATTTTTCATTAGAGACTTTA